GGGGGGGGGGGGGGGGGGGGGGGGGGGGGGGGGGGGGGGGGGGGGGGGGGGGGGGGGGGGGGGGGGGGGGGGGGGGGGGGGGGGGGGGGGGGGGGGGGGGGGGGGGGGGGGGGGGGGGGGGGGGGGGGGGGGGGGGGGGGGGGGGGATTGAATTTAGGTGTTAATTGGAATATTGAAGTTTTGAGTTTGGGAATTGAATGATTGAAGATTATAAGAGGAGAAGAGTGGAGGGAAGATGGAAGATCTAAGAAGAGGGTGGAATTGGGATTGAGGCATAGAGTGTAGAGAGGTAGTTAAGTCATGTGCTGTGTGTGCCCCAACAAACTGTCTGCTAAACCTTAACCCTTTGATTAACTTCTATGCCAATTCCTCTGTTTTTTCGACTTTTGCTTTTTGGCTGCACCAACTTAGGAATTGAAATGCGCAGGACCTTAGGTATGAAATGATATGGTTTAAGATTATTCTAGTTCTTTCTAAACCTTTAAAATATATATTTTACATCTTGAATTTCTTATTATTTTCGTATTGAATTGTTTAAAGGATAATTGATTTGATTTTGAATGTGTACTAATGTAGTATAAGCTTGCATTGTGAGTTCTGCATATGAATTTTAATTTAAACTATTCTTATAAAAAAATGTTTTAAGAAAATATATAGTTTGAGAAAATGTTTAAATGAAGAAAGAATGTCAAACTCACCTAAATGTAGGGGGCAATTGAGCATTTTCATAATTGATTTTCCCACTATTTTCGTAATTTAATTTGGGTATTTAGTTAGCTGGGATCTTAAATAATTTACTAGTTGACAAATTTTCCAAAATTTTGCAAGAAATGAATGAATTTAAAGTATAATTATTGATTTTTTTAGATTATTAATTATTGAATTCGAACCTTAAAAAAAGAGTGTGTGTGGGGCTGAAATGCAAGTGGGTAGCAAATGCTTGGCGTGCTGCTCCGTTTTATTTGTTTATTTTTCTTTAAAATGCTTTGTTGTTTCCTTGCACATAAACATGGTCTTTTTTTTTTTCCTTTTTCAAAATAAGCGTTTGAATGTAAATAAAAACCCCTAAGTTTTAGTGACTACTATTCGTACATCTAAAAAATTAATACTGAAGTTTTGATTACTCTTAAAAGAATAGATCATCTAGATTGTAGATTAGTTACTAGTCATAGTTAATTAATGGCTTATAATATGATTGAGATCGTTATAATCCTTTTTTAATATTTTAAATTACTCTATAACATGCTTGTAATTATTTAAAATAGATGATAAAAATCGTATTTAAAAGGATAAAATCAAATATTGAAATCATGTTTTGAAATAATTTTTTTTTTTTGTTTGTTTGTAACCATTAGTTTGATGGTCGTTCTAAATCTTCATTGTCGATAATTAGAGTGACATGAATGGTATATAAAGATTAAAAGTCCTCGTCCATTTTGCAAAATAAATTCCTCTGTGCCCTCCCCACACCCTTTATGGAATTATGACCTTACTTCTTTGATCAAATATCTGTAAATATACGAAATAATTTGAGGAGTTCAACATTTGTATTCATAGACATCCTAGTTTCGAATGGAATAAATGGTAGTCCTGTTTTGATTCTCTTAGTTAAATAATGATTGTAAAGTTGTATTTGTAACGTCCCAGGCCCACCATTAGCAAATATTGTCCTTCTTGGGCTTTCCCTTTAGGGCCTGCCCTCAAGGCTTTAAAACGTGTCTGCTAGGGGAAAGTTTTCACACCCTTACAAATGGTATCAGAGCCAGACATGGGATGATGTGCTAGCCTTCTCACTGTTCTCTGAAGGGGTAGACACGAGGCGGTGTGCCAGTAAGGACGTTGGGCCCCAAATGGGGGTGGATTTGGGTGTGGTCCCACATCAATTGGAGGAAGGAAAGAGTGCCGACGAGGACGCTGGGGCTCGAAGGGGGTGGATTGTGATGTCCCATATTGGTTGGGGAGGAGAACAAACCACCATTTATAAGGGTGTGAAAACCTTTCCCTAGCAGACGCGTTTTAAAGCCTTGAGGGCAAGCCCGAAAGGGAAAGTCCAAAGAGGACAATATCTGCTAGCGGTAGGTCTGGGCCGTTACAGTATTACCGTTCACTTGCCCAGGAAGTTGGGGTTCTTTTTGCCTCCTTGGATGCCAGAGATGAACGTTAGGGCAATACATAAAATTTCTTAGAGGAACTTATGTGGTTAGCAGTGAGGCGAGTTGAGTCCGTAGGTTCTCGTATCTGGTAGGGACTAACAATGGAAGAGCTGTTCCTTCAAAAACAAACCGAGAAAATGAAAAATGCCAACGGGTTGAAGAGCTGTTCCTTCAAAAACAAACTGAGAAAATGAAAAATGCCAACGGGTTGGGTTTGATCCGTTCTTTAACCCGCCGGTGGAGAAATTGGCATGATCTTCACAATAAATTTTCTCGCAAATTTTAAAATTAACGAAACATTTAAAAAGATGAGAACAAATACATTTACTATTCAAAAGCATCGTTTGTGTTTTAATACAAAACCAAGGACCAAGGTATGGGATACAAAACAAACTGCAACCAAAATACCAAAAAGATTGATGCCTAGAATGACCCTCCGCACTCAATTAGGATTCACATAGCAACACTCTCACCCACAAGTAAGTTAGCTAACTAGAATTTGGGTTGCTGTTGGCATGGGCAACTCAAGCCTTTGGCCCTGCTCTACACAATTTCTTTTAGAAAATGTAGAGAGAAAATTTTAGAAAGCAATTGGAAATTGGTTTTAAGAAAGTAATGTTATAAGCTAAAAACAAATAAGGAAGAACCACAACTTTGATAGTGCATAACTCAGGGAGGAAAAATTGAAAGCTAGTCGTATCTCCCTATAGAACATTTTAAGACATTTTAGTATTGGTACGTGTAAACATGATTTTGGCGAAGGATCATGCATCCTATGTTAACATAACCAGAATAACAAGTACCTAACTAACATGAAAGCAAGTAAAAAGAGTTTGGAATGGACATGCAGCTATAAACATGTCCTAGAAACATGTCCTAGACAAGCATGATCAAGACATTCAACAAGCGACAACAGACAACACGCTTTCGACAAGAATGACTGTGACATCCTCCCCCATTTAAATGGTTGACGTCTATGTCAACCGAATCTTCACGAACTCAATGATGTAGAATGAGGTTGACTTCAGGTCTTTTGATGCTTTTTCAGTCAATCTCAGCATTAAGGAGTCTCTTCTACTTCATTCACGGTGGAATTATTCTTCATGGCATGAGGGTGTCGTCTCATTGTGCTTGGTGTCTTGTTGATTGAGATAGTAACGTTTCAAGTTACTAACGTAGACAACCAGACTGGTCCACATCCATGGGAGCAATTGGATTCTATATGATGTCTTTATGACCTTTTGAATGACTTCGGTTAGTCCATAGTGTTTCCGCACCATTCGAGGTTTTTGTTGCTTAGAAATCAAAGTTGATCTGATCTCAGCTTGATTAGAACTCTGTGATGTGAAATTGTTGAATTCGTCTTCGTGGCATGAGATTGTTATCTCATTGTGCTTGGTTTTTCTTGATTGAGATAGTAATGTTTCAAATTACTGATGTAGACAATCGGACTGGTCTACATCCATGGGAGCAATTAGATCTATATGATGTTTTTTCGACCTTTTGAATGACTTCGATTAGTCTATAGTATTTTTGCACTATTCATGGTTTTTATTGTTTTGAAATTGAAATTGATCTGATCTTAACTGAATTAGTACACTTTGTCCGCATTGAAATTGTAGTGCCTTGTATTTCTGATCGACCCTTCTTTTCATCCGTCTGGATGTTCTTCCTGAGTAACCTCGAGTTACTTTAGAGTTTTGTGTTCATCCTTCACTCAAGGTGTTGGCTTGAGATCTCTCCCTAGATCATTGACACGAGCTTTTGCGGGTTTAAATAAGCTTAACCTTAACCTTCAACAAGTTATTTAGTTGCTTGTGAAGTTTAGTTAGTTTGGATTAAGAAAATATATTGTTGATTGCATGAAATGTTTATGTTGATAGAGTTGGATCGGAACCCATGCTTTACATCTAAATTCTAACACAATCTTCAAAAAAACTTGAGGCTCCAAGTTGAATTTTAGTAATTTTTCTACCACAAAACAGATTGAATGTCCGAGTCAAACATCAAAAGAAATGTTTTGTGCCTACGTGTTGAAATTCTCAAGTGGTTGAAATTCTAAGGTGTAACTCATATCATTCCCCTATAATAATAGTTTTCGAGCAACTATTGACATAGTATAATTCAATGCTCTTTATGGGTAACGATGCATGTCCTTAGTATATTGGTTTGAAGTGATGAACGCAAG